CAAGGCGATTATTCAGTATATACGTACACACACATCTCAGCATGCACTGAGTCAGGCCTAGGGCTTGGGCATTGATGCGCACAGGCAACGGGAAGTTGTCATCTGCAGAGAGCACAGAACTGTCATGTCACTGCCAGCCTCTGGATTTGGTGCTTGCAGAGACCTGGGGAGCATCCAGAGCTTGGTGCAAACATCCCTGCCCCCTGCCCCTTGCTGGGTAGCCCCAGGTTGCCCGTTTGACATCCCTGAGCCTCAGCCCCTCAGCTGCCCATGAAAATACCAGGGCACCTGTCCTTGCTCACTCATGTTTGAGGAGGTGTCCTCTACCGTTCTGCTGGTGTTCCGGCCTCGCTGGACAATCCTGGGGATGATAAGATTCATGGTTGCATTTTACAATTATGAGGAACGTAGTGTCCTTGGAATGTGCATACCGCATTCCAGATTGGGGAGCTGAGGGGCAGAGAAGCTTTCCCAACACCACCAGCCTGGGATTCAGGGACAGACCCAGGTCTGGCTGACCCCAAATCCAGGTATCCATCAAGGAAAAGACCCAGGTTGCAGTGGCAGTCACAGGTGGTTGTCGCCATGTCCCAGAGGTTGGCAGAAGCCTGGTTTTGTTCCTTTGCCTGCTCCTACCCCATGTGATTTTAGGCCATTTTGATTGGTCAAAGCCTGCCGTTGTGCTCCCATTCCCTGTGCTGTGATTGGTTCAAGCGTGAGGAAGTCTGCAGGGGTGAGGTGGGGTGGGGTAGGGGGGTGGTTGTGCGGTAAGGGACTTGGGGGAAAAGTTAGGTTTAGGATTAGCTAAATGAGAACCACAGAAAACGATACTTATTCTCCTTCCCCTAGACGGCCACATTTCTGCATGATATCTGAAACTGTGGTGGCCATCTTGTGACCATGAGAGGGGACTAAAAGAGCAAAATGATGATAGGAACCTGGGTCTTGGGTGGCAGAACCAAGGAATTAATGCACTCCGGAGCCCCCTGCACCTTGGGACGTCTTGATATGTGAGATTTAAAATTTTCCCTTATTAAGTCAAAGCTCCCTAAACATTTTTATCATACCCTCAGTGTATTTATATTGGTTTATTAATAAATTATGTATACACCCAATTATACTAATACATTATTTACCCTTCCCAAATGTGCAGATTTAGTGATAGCATTCCTGAAGAATACAAATTAAAAGAGGATGAAAGACATACGTTCTAGCATGGCCATTTCTTTTCTCATCTTTGCGGATTGTTTGGTATACTCTCTTGGGATATACACCCAGATTTGGGTGCCCAGAGATAGGCATCATTTTGAGTTGGAATTTCTGTCACCTGCAGCCAGAGGCCTTCTGACAGATAAAGATGGCGAAATACTTGTTTCCTTGTTTCACATCAGTCTCCTGCACTAGACTGTGCGCTCCATGAGGGAAGGGAGCACATCAGGCTGATGCCACACCGTGTTCCCTGTCCTCTGTGCATTGCCTGGCACACAGTAGATGCTCAATATACGTGCTGAAAGGATGGCTGCCTCGCCACTTCCTGGCTGGGAGACTTTGGGAATACCACTGCCAAACCTCTCTGTCTTGCTGGCTGCCTCTGTACAGTACAGTTGACAATGCTGCTCACCTCCAAGGACAGGGTGGAGGGGCAGCATTTTGTAAACTGCAAAGGGCTGGGCAAGGGGAGGGGGTGCCCTCCTCACCTCCGGGGTCTGGGATTGTGGGCCACATCTTCGAGTGGGGCACCTGGGTCCCCAGGGCTCCTTGAGGACCGTGGCATCGATATCCTTCTCTAGGACTGGGGATGGAGGCGGGGATCTCTGGGAGCTGGTGAGAAGGAAGTGGCTGATGCTTCCGAATGTCCTCTGAAAAGTGCCAGTGGAATCTACCAGGATCAGTGGAGCAGTTGGCACTGTGACCTCACAGAGCAGGTGAGTGAAGGGACAGGGGGTGGGGGCTAGTCTCCAGCTTGGCTCTAGAACCTCCCCCAGAGGAAGCCATTGTGACCCACTTTCCTTTTTTAAGATGGGGAAATTGAGGCATCAAGACAGGAAGGGCCATGCCGGGGTCTCAGGAGCTAGACAGGGGCGAGAGCTGAAGCTCCAGTAACCCAACCATGCTTTTCCATGTTCCCTAGACCCCTTCCTGCCCCAAGCTTCCCAGGTTTTTCACCCTCTTAGGTTGCCTGTGAATGCATTTTGTAATGCTGAGCTTCTCACTGGTGGACATTGTGCATAACACAAAATACATGGCATGTGTTGTTGTTTTAATAAAGTTCTACTTTTTGGCTGGGCGCGGTGGTTGATGCCTGTAATCCTAGTATTTTGGGAGGCTGAGGCGGGTGGATTGCCTGAGCTCAGGAATTTGAGACCTGCCTGGGCAACATGGCAAAACCTCTTCTCTACTAAAAATACAAAAAATTGGCTGGGCGTGGTGGTGTGTGCCTGTAATCCCAGCTACTCAGGAGGGAGGCATGAGAATTGCTTGAACTCGGGAGGTGGCAGAGGTTGCCATGAGCCAAAATTGCGCCACTGCACTCCGGCCTGGGCCACAGAGTGAGACTGTCTCCGGAAAAAAAAAAAAAAAAAAAGTTCTACTTTTTTACTGGGAAAAAATAAAAGCATAACCAAGTGGAAATGTCAGGCTAAGTTTTTTTTGTTAGCCCTGCCTGTAGGGAGCTTGACTATTTGGACAGCAAAACTAAAATGAATTCACTTTTGCCCCCTGGTGGCAATTGCTTAAAATTGCAGGCTAATGACCAATGGGAAGTGGTCCACATACTAAAACTTGAACATGTAAATATGTTAAGTCACAAGGCAAAGGGGAGCTAAAGCTAGAAGAGGAATTTAAGTTGCCAATCAGTCGATCTTGAGATGGGGAGAATACCCTAGATTACCCATGTGGGTGCAATGTAATGAAAAGGGTCCTTATAAGTAGAAGAGGGAGGCAGGGAGATGGCTGCACAAGAAGCACTCAGCTCAACATGCTGGCTTTGAAGATGGAGGAAGGGACCAGGAGCCAAGGAATAAGGGCGGCTTCTAGAAGCTGGAAAAGGCAGGTGGACAGTTCCTCTCCTACAGCCTCCAGCAAGGAACGCAGCCCTGCCAATACTTCCTTGATTTTAGCCCAGGGAGACCCATCTGAGACTTCAGACCTCCAGAATGGTAACATGATAAATTGTGTCTTAAGTCACTAAGTTTGTGATAATACATTACTGCAGCAAGAGAACACCAATGCAAACCCCCTGAGAATATTCAGTGAAGGGGAAACTCTGAAATGCCACCACTACAATTGTTACAAGGGTCTTTCAAATGTATACTCATTCATTTATTCATTCAACAAATATTTATGCATCCTAGTATGGTCCAGGTGCTGGAAACAGGGCTGAGCAGAACCAGCTCCCATCCCTGTAGATGCAGGCAAAGTGGCTGGCAGAACATTCTGCATATGGCAGGTGCTCACCAAATGGTACTTACCATTGCTGTAGGGAGCTGGTTGAGATCTGAGATGGGCTGGTGAGAGTCTCCCTCTTTTATGTCTACTGGCTGTCACCCAGATGGCTCCTGTGCTGGAAATATTTAGGAAAAGGAAGTGTCCAGGCCAAGAGCAAACACCAAGAGCGGCTTTGGTCAATATTTGCACCTCTGTCCATTGAGTCTGCTGTTTGCATCATCAGCTATGGTGAGGGTGCAGGAGGGCCCTGTCTTATGCACTGGTGGACAGACCAAGGCCAGGAGCAGGGTGTCAGGGAGCTCACAGCAGGCTTTTCTCGTTCCTCTTTGCCTCTAGAATAGGGGCAGGGGAGCACTGGTTGGGAGGCAGGGCTGGTTCAAGTGAGCTCCAGCTGCTCAGGGGAGGGCTTGATGGTGTCTGTGGTCAGCTTTGTAGGCACTGGTGGGGGCCTAGCACAGGGTGGGCCTAGGAGCTGGGCCTGATATTTGAGCTGGTGTGGGGTCAGTGGGAGTCAAGGAGTGCCCTGGAGTTGGGGAAAGGCCCCAAGGCATCCTGTGCCAATGAAGAAAAATGGCAAGGCCATCACCTGCTGTGCCCACGTGTATGCACAGACATATATGTACCTCCCCATCCCAGGAAACAGTCCACTCACATACACACATGCACCTAACACCACACACTCACAGACCCACAAACACTCAGTAGGCCAAGCCCACACATGCATACATGTACACAGAACTCCCCACTTCTGTGGTCCTGTCGGATTGTGTGAATAGACACGTAACACCATAAACAAAGACACCAACGCGCCCATTTCATGTCCACACCCACACTTAAGAGCACACATTTTCCCTGCACATGTGTACATGTGACTATGCACACACAACCACACACATGTATCAACACACACAATCCTCATCCACACACGTGCATGTACAAATTCCTTCATGGGCACACACAGTTCCTTAGATCCCATATAGTCAAGGCAGAGGCTGGCGTTTGTAATGTAGAAAGAGACGGTGGACGAATCCATTGTGAATGGAATGTGCATTTGGAGAGGGGCTGGGGTGTTAAGCTGCGGGGGTGGGTCACGCACACTTTCTCTTCTGTTCCGTACTGAGTTAGGGCTCAGTTTGTCACTGGGATCGGGGCTCAGCATGTGATCAGGGTCAGAGCTCGGTAACTGGGGTCAGCACTCAGTGTGTGAATATGTGACAGGGTCAGGGCTGTAAATGAATGAGAATGGTGCTCAGGTAGCCTTCTGCCCCTCCTAAAAGGGTCATGTTTCTGAGAGAGCTTGGAGGTACCAGGCTTGAGGGGTCATTGTAGCCATCCCCCTGCCTATGGGAGGGGGGGGTGAGGTCCTCATGGGCCCCATCCTCCCAGGCCTTGGCTGGGCATAAGGGTACCCTCCTAGAAGCGGCTTTCCTTCCAGAGATCTCCTGGCCCCTAAGGCCATAGCTGCCTAGCCCCAGGGGCTTGTAGTGGTTGGGAGCTGGGCCCGGCTACTGGCTACGTGGCAGCCCCAGCACACATGTGGGATGAGACACTTTGGCAAAGGCCATGTTTGCAGGGAAAACACTTGCAACCACAAGCAAACTTGCCGCTCCCTGGGTCCCTTCCCAGTGGACCCTACACATTGGGAGCCTTATAAAGTAGCCTCTGCATCTGCCTGCCTGGGGCAGAGGAGGGCTACCCTGGGGCTGCGAGTTCACCTGTCTCAGGAACCACCTGAGGTAGGCACGGGATTGGGCTGGTACTCCACCTCCGAGGAGTCTCAGCTTCTTTATCTGTTCAATGGGGATGCTACTTCCAGCCACCCTCTGCAGAAGGGTCCTTCCATCACTGGCCTTGCTGTGGGACCTGGGCAAGTGCCACCATCCTGGGTCTCAGCTGACCCACCTGAGCAGCAGTCCCTCATTCCTGCCTGGCTCCCTCTCCCTGAGTCAGACACAGATCTGCCTACTTGGCCAGACTGCGTCAGGAGTGGATGGGGGCCATGTGAGAGGCCTACTCTTAGGCCATTTCTCACCTGGCCAGGAGGGGATGAGGACAGGAGCCACCCTGGATCTTCCCCTGGCTGAGTTTGGACAGCTGGACACCAGGCTGGGCTGTCACACTGGGCTGGGCTCCAGCATCAGGTGACACAGTCCTGGGTCTCTTCTTAGGACAGGAAACTACCCTCAGTCTCCCCATTTGGGAGGCTCACCATCCTTCTCTGCCATGGCTTGGGTCCTGCACCTGGTCCCAGTCCACTGTGTGGCCCTAGGCAAGACCATTTCTTCTCTGGGCATTGGAGGTCATTTCCAGAAAGGACTCTCCCATGATTCCTGAAGAAGCAAGCAAGGCAGAGTGATGGTTACCAACGCAGAGATGCAAAAACGATGTCTGTGGGCCTGGGGTAGGGCTGGGATCATCAGTCAGGGCTTTTTCCCTCCAGGCTGGAGCGGGCTTCGGGCGGCTCAGGGGTGGGCTGTTCTGGCTGAGCTCCCTGATGCTCGTTTCTACCCCAGCCCACAGATCCTGTGGCCAGCGGCCAGGGCAGCCATGGCTTGGGCGTGTAGGCTGGGCCTGCTGCTGGCACTGCTGCTGCCCGTGGTCAGTGCCTCCACGCCAGGCACCGTGGTCCGACTCAACAAGGCAGCATTGAGCTACGGTAAGGGGGTGTGCCACCCAGCGAGTGCCTGCGAGCCGGTACATGCGTGCGCAGTCCTAAGTGTGTGTGCTCATCCGTGAACTCAAAAGCCCCATGAGGACCCAGATTTTAATCAGAAATTGTGTCCCTGGCACCCAGACAGTGCCGGACACACGGTGCTGCTCAACAAATGCTTATTACATAAATGCGTGAGGGGGAGTACGTCACGTGGCCAGTGTGCAAGTGTGCACACATGATCTGCTCACGTGCTTTAGTGATGTGGGCATAGGTCAGTTTGAGGGGCTCTTTTTACCTGTGTGTGTCTACTTATGAGTTTGAAATTTCATAGAGCTGTGCCCACGTGTGTACTTAAGTGTCGGGGAGGGTGCAAGCCCATGACGCTGCCTGGATGTGTGTGCACGGGTATGGATGTGCACCCTGGGTGTACAGGTTTGCGTATGTGGCGTGTGCACGCACACGTGTGCTTGGGAGAGATCTGTCCAGCACCGTGATGCAGGGAGTGTTCTAAAGTATAGCCCTTCTGAGCTCCGTGTGAGAGAACCATCTGCTCTCTGGGTCCCACTTGTGTGAGGGCTCTGTCTTATGGCTTTGCTGCTAGATCCTTCCAAGTCTTGCCCCAATCCCCTACGGAGGGCACAATGAGGAAACTTAGGCCCAGGGAGGCACAGACATTGCCAAGGTCCAGGATGCCAGCACAAACATGTTTATTCACCTTCCGCTGCCTCTCGGTGAGAATTTGGTTTCCCACCAAAGCCGGAGGTCAGAAGCTGTTTCCCCCAAGGCCAAACACAGATGATCGTGTGAGAAAGTCAGGTCAGACAGTAGATGGGACTTTCAGTGGCCCAGGACACGAAGCAGGGGCTCAGGGAAGTAGCAGGGTTCCCCCACCCCTGGGTACACGCAGCCTTCCGGGACCTTGTATCCGGGCTGATGGGTAGGCAATGAAAAGGGTCAGTGATCCGTGCCAGAGCGTGACATGGAGCCATTCATGGATGCCCGCAGGTAGGGCCATGAGGTCCGCTCCCTCTGCTGCCTTCCTGCCCTCTGCCTATCCTGTGCAAGCCTCCTGTGTTCCCAGGGAGCCCTCCCCCGCTTGCCTGCCTGTGTTTGTTCTTGGCAGAAATCCGGCTGGAGGCTCAAGCTGGATGCATTGCTCCCCAGGCTGGGCTTAGTGGCTACTTCCAGTGTCCTCCCCACCCCATCCTGCAAGCCCCAGAGTTCAAACCCTGTGTCAAAGGAGCACTGTAGATGGAGTCTGAGGTCTGGGTGTGAGTCCCAGCTCAGCTGCAGATGGTTAGGTGGGAGAGGGGTGCTGGGAAACGTGGAAACCGGCGCCTTTATGCTTCTTGTTGGGGGATACTAAGACCCAGAGAGGTGCAGGGACTTCCCGAGTTCCCACAGTGAGTCTGAGCAGTGGGCAGTCCTCTTGACTCCTCATCTGAAGCTCACTTCCAGCACCATTACCTCTTATTTTAATTCAACTTCCGTTTAATTAGCACCTCTCTGGGGCCCAGCAGCACAGGCGAGTGAGGATGCCCAGAGGCTCGGGAACCAGGTCCCTTGTCCAAAGCCAGCTTCCCCCGGCCAGATGCCCTCACCTCTCTGTAAACTGGGCATGATAGTAGGAAAAGTAGAGCACTCAGAACAGGGCCTGACACTACAGGATCATGACATAAGTGATCGCTGCTATTATTACAAAAATAAATAGCAATGGTGGTAGCTAGCATTTGCTGTGCACTGAGTGTTTACAATGATCCTACGTGACAGATAACATTAGAATCATTGCAAATGTATAGATGGGGAAACTGAGGCACAGAGTAGCCACAGAGGCAGTGAGTAGCAGTGAGCACTGGGGTTTGAACCCAGGATCTAAGAGACTTTTGAGTCCTCAGCCTCCAGGTGAGGCTGTCCCCTCCCCTCCTAAGGGATGTCCCCCCTGCTCCCATGGGTGCCTCCGCAGCAGGCCAGGGATGACTGGGAGATGCTCCTTCTGCTTGGGAACTTAGGGAAGGCTCCTAGAGGAGGTGGGATCTGATTGAAACCTTGCAAGAGGGCAAAGGATTTTGTTGCTTTTGAAGGATGGGGTGAATCAGCAGGATTTTGAGAGGCAGAGTGGGGGAAGAAGGCCATGCCCAGGTGGAGAAGGCCTGGTGCGAGTGGCACACCCAAGGTGGGCTCATGGGGAGTCAGCTGCCCTCCGCACATGCTTGGAGCAAGTCTACCCCTTCCAGTCTGAGAACCCTCTGCCCAAGGTGCAGGGTAGATGGCAGGCAGTGTGTTCTTGCTACTTGGTGGTTCTCGAGGGCACCCTGACCTCAGTCTACCCTGGCCCCACAGTGTCTGAAATTGGGAAAGCCCCTCTACAGCGGGCCCTGCAGGTCACTGTCCCGCATTTCCTGGACTGGAGTGGAGAGGTGCTTCAGCCGACCAGGTGAGTGCTCCCCTTGTCCAGAGAAGGTGCTCCTGCCACCAAGTGGAGTGTTCCTGCTTGCCAGATGGGTGCTTCAGTCCACTGGGTATGTGCTCCTGCCTGCTGGGCAGGTGCTCCTATCCACGGGGCAAAGTGTTCCAGTCCACCAGATGAGCACTCTTCACTGAAGGTGAGTGCTCCCTCCCACCAGGTGAGTGATTACAAGATGATTTAAGAGACGGACTCAAGGTGGAGATGCCGGGGCCTGGTGCCTCTGAATTAGTGAATTTCTGCCCTCAGAGGCTAAGACTGGCTCCTGGGTCCCCAGGGCTGGCAGGACCCTCTGTTTCTAGAAACTGGACACTGAATTTAGACACGAATCTGAGCCTCCCTTACCTCCACGCCACCCTGCTTAATGCAGAGACTAAAGACACAGGGAGGTGGAGCATCCCAAACTTAGACACCCCCAGGGCTGGTCAACAGCTGCCTTCCACATAGGAACTTGGGCTCACTACTGTCGGATCTTTGGGTTTCCAAGGGAAAATATACATCTAGAATCCATCAAATTTGGAAAGATAGCAACTAATTAAAAAACATTTAAAGGTCAGGCTTGGTGGCCCACACCTGTAATCCCAGCACTTTGGGAGGCTGAGGCGGGTGGATCACCTGAAGTCAGGAGTTCAAGACCAGCCTGGCTAACATGGTGAAACTCCATCTCAACTAAAAATACAAAAATTAGCTGGGCGTGGTGGCGGGTGCCTGTAATTCCAGCTACTTGGGAGGCTGAGGTGGGAGAATCTCTTGAACCTGGGAGGCAGAGGTTATAGTGAGCCGAGATCGTGCCATTGCACTCCAGCCTGGGCGACAAGAGAGAAACTCCATCTCAAAACAAGCAAACACACACAAACAAACAAACAAACAAACAAAAAACATTTAAGACTTTAAGACCCTGGAACAGTGGGTGGGTGGTTAAAAAAACAAAACAAAACAAAAACACATCTGGCTTGGGGGCCACTAGTTTGAGATCCCTTAGGTAGAGCTGAAATGCAGTTCATGGCACGGTTAATAAAGGTAGAGAACTGGACATAAAGACCCAACGACCAAAGATGCCTAAATCACTTGTGGTCTGGCCACACAATGGACACCACATGGCTGTTTGAAAACAGCACCCATGGTTCTCATTTGTAGACACAGGATCGAACCCAGGATTGTTGCGTGTACAGAAGCAGCATCTGTACAGGGGACCTGAACTGTCCTGTGGAGAAATGACTTTCATTTAGGAAATAAAAGACATCACAGGTTAGCTGGAGAGTGCTTGGAGCTTTGAAGTGGGGGCGTTTCTGTTGCTGTAGGCTACGAGCTGCAGACATTGACTAGGATCCCAGAGAGAGGATTTCTGCCTTCTGTGGTTCCCGAAGTTTTTCTTTTCCAACCTTTCCAATTTTCCAGGCAGGTGTCAGAAACTGTCAAAAACCTGAGCAATCATCTCACCCAAGTTCTACCCAAAGCGGGGGCCCCCTCTGCATGTTCTCCCTACCAGCTGGTGTCCAACCTTGGTTTGCATGCCCCGTGGTGATGGAGAACTCACCACCTCCCCCTCACCTCATGGTTCCAATAGTCAGAAAGCCCTGCTTTATAACATCGTGTGGGTATGACTCAGAGCACCCAGCTCAGAGTTGATCCCATGGTTTAATGGGGGCCATCCCGTCATCTTGATTACTATCCTGCAGGATCCGGATTCTGAATGTCCATGTGCCCCGCCTCCACCTGAAATTCATTGCTGGTTTCGGAGTGCGCCTGCTGGCAGCAGCTAATTTTACTTTCAAGGTGTTTCGGTGAGCGGATCTCCTTGTTAGGGGGTGAGAAGGGTTTCAGGGATGCTTTGAGGGGGCACAGTGAGGGCATGGGGGGTAGCAGCTCCTCCAGGACTCTCATCCAGGCCTCTTGACTCCCTGTCCAGTGCTCTGTCTCCCCTCACCCTTGGAGGGGAGCAAGATAGTGAGAGCATTTCTGAGAACCCTGCTCAACAGCTCTGCAACTGGGCAGAGTCACTTCACTTGTTTAGCCCTCAGCTCCCTCATCTGTAAAACGGGATGAACTTCTGCAGAGTGCCAATGGGTTCATTGCTGTGGTTATAATGACTGTCCTCCCTTTCCCAGGGCAAGGCATGTGAGAGACGCTCAATAAGCACAATGATCAGAGTTATTTTTGTGTGCCTGGCATCTTATATGTTACTGTATTTAATTTTCACACCATGAGCTGTGCAGTCAGAGGGGTCTATTATCTTGCTCCTCTACCCTGACACTATGATTTTATGCATGCTCCCTGTGGGCCAGGCTCTGTGATTATCTCACAGGAAGCTCAGCACAGCCCTGCGACATAGGTCCCACCAACCTTATGTCCATTTTGCAGAAGAGGAAACTGAGGCTCAGCATGGTAAATGGCTGGCCCAAGGTCTCACAGTGAGAGCCTGGACAGCCAGTGCTCACACCCATTACTGCAATGTCCGTGACCCCAAGTGGAGTCTTGGGGCCGGCGGCTGTGGGCCTGCCCCAGGTAGGGCCATCTCAGTCTGGGAGCAGGGGGCCTGCCTGGGCCAAGTGGAGGGCAGGCAGGGGCTGGGGAGTTTGTAAGATCTCTTATCAGTCACGGTAGGCTCTGCTGGGCGGTGCTGCTTGGACTCAGGACTGTCCTCCCTGCAGCGCCACAGAGCCCCTGGAGCTGACGCTGCCTGTGGAACTGCTGGCTGACACCCGTGTGACCCAGAGCTCCATCAGGACCCCTGTGGTCAGCATCTCTACCTGCTCTTCATTCTCAGGCCACGCCAACGAGTTTGATGGTAGTAACAGGTGGGTGCCTGGTGAGGGCAGGGCCACAGGAATCCTGGATGCCAAAGCTGTGCTGCTGTTTCCTGAGCTGCCCACTCAGGACTTTAACCAATGGCCACAAGGGCCTGAGAGGCCCCCATTATTGTGTTTGTTTTATGATGGAGTACACTGAGGCTCGGAGAGGGGGAGAGGCATGCCTGAGGTCACACAGCAAGTGAGCAGCCAGAACCTGGGATCTTTCCATCTCCTTGACAATACACTTTCCATTCCCTTTCCACCACTTGACAACACACACTAGCTATTAGCACACTCTTTGGGGAGAGATTTTGGGTGGATCAGACTGGCTGTTAGGACCTCGGAGACCCACCCCTCCTTACAGAGATGGAAGCCAGGCAGGGGCGGGACCCGCCAAGAGCGGGCTCTGGCAGGTGGCGGCTCCCTTCTGCATAAAGGCTGACCGCAGCTCCCGCCTCCAGAGCACCTGTGTGTGCTGAGCACTGTTCCAGGCCCTGTCGGTGGATCATTTCGTTTGATCCTCACAGTATCCTACCAGGTAGGTGTTAAGTATTTCCTGCATTTTACAGGAGAGCAAACGGAGGCCCCGAGCAGTTAAGTGACTTGCCTAAGACCACCAGCTGACAAATGGTGTAGCCAGATTCAAGCCCAGGCAGCCTGACTAATCCCATGGCTTGCAAATCCCCCTAGATGATGTCTGCACCTTCCCAATGTGAGCAGGGCTTGCTGAGGTGTTGAGCATCTTGGAGGCTTAGAAGAATGCAATGTTTGCATCAAGACTGAGCTTTTTCCCCAGAGAGGTGTGTGGCTGTATAAACCCATTCACACTTGTGTCCCGTGATCATCATGTGTGACTCGTGACCCCTCGCTGTCCTCCCAGGCAAGGGATGCTTACAGCTTATTGAAGGGGAGATGAAAGCCAAGAGGCTTTGGAAACACAGACGCCACCCTCCTACCTCCCCAGGGAGCTGGTTCAGCGAGGTTGGGCTGTGGCTTGGATCGACATTTTTGCAAATCAAGGAACCATTGGTGCCTATGGAGCACTGTTGAGTTGTTTAAAGGGGAAACGGAGGCCCAGAGCCAGGAAGGTATTTTGTTAGGTGTGTCACAGAAAATTGGACCCAAAGCATGAAGCAGACCCAGGATCCCAGCTCTAGCCCCTAACCCAACCTTCACTAGGCTTAGAGTGGCCACGAAGCCAGCTGGCCAAGGTCATGGCCACGTCCGGCTTTTGCAATGCCCTCCCGGTCTCACTTGCCACATTCTTGGCCATTTCCAAACCTTGAGATAAATGACCCTCTCTTTTGAGACTCAATTTCCTTATCTGTGGGGCCAATTATGCCAGCACTGTGTATGGCAGGTGGCAGGGCATCGAATGGGATTGATGGACCTCCTGGCTGAGGACAGAGACTTCTCTTCCCAGACACGCGACTGTGCTGAGCGACGGGACCTAATGTGTTTGGGGGCCCAGGAACTCTTTCTCTGTTTCCCCCTCAGCACCTCCCACGCACTGCTGGTCCTGCTGCAGAAGCACATTAAAGCTGTCTTGAGTAACAAGGTAAAGGGCTTGCAGATTTCTCAGAAAGGAGGGCATGGCTTCACCAAGAAGGCACAGTGAAGAAAGAGTGGGATTTCAGGCAGCGGGTACTTTGCTTGGGATTAAAAAAATAGAAGCCCCTTCATGGTCCCCATGAAGGCAGGGAAGAGGCTGGTGCCAGGGTCCAGGGGAGTGACGGGGAGATACAAATGAGGGCAGAGTTTATGGGGTTGGAGGAGAGGGAGGTTCATCCTCTTGGGACAGCTCCAATTTCATGCCAGACGGTGGATGGAGTGGGGTTCATGGGCCTGTGGTGTGTAAAAAGAAGACAGAACGAGAGTGAAGGAGGGTGTGGGCATGGGGCCAGCTGTAGCCTGGATGGGTCCCTGTCCTTTCCAGATGTGCACTGTCTCTGCTTCTGGTTCCACATCTGTACTGAAAGAGACAAAGCCCCTCCTTCGTGGGGCGATTGCAGGCACAAAATGCATTAACATTTCAGAAGAGTTCGGGACAGTGGTTGACAGAGTGGGTGCTGCTATTATTATTGCTGTCTTAGCTCTTGTCATTGTCTGCATGGAGCTGACTTGGTGAGAGAGGGTAGCCCAGGGGCTAGGGTCCCACTGCCCAGGGGGAGCTCATTTTCTCCCTGCCCTATCCCATCCCAACCCCACTTACTGCTTTAAGGGGCAGTAGTAGAGACGAAGTCAACCTTCTGCGTGCCACCCCACGCCCCCCAGAGGGCGACTGCAGCATGCCCACCTTACAGATGAGAAAACCGAGGCTCGAGGGGCGGAGGTGGGGCAGCTCCTCTTGAAAGTCTTATGGGATGCCCAAGTGGACGGCTTGACTTTGCCTGTTGGTCCAGCCTCTTCCTCTCCTTGTAGTCCCCCTGCTGCCCTCATAGCCAGCCTCTTCTGGGCAAGGGGCTTCAGGCAGCACTGCAGGAAAGAAGACCCACCCTCTCCTCTTCCTCTTGACCTCGCCCTGTGCAGCCAGCTCTTGCCTGGTCGAGGCTGTGAGTGCCCCTGGCCTTGCAGTTCCTCCTCTGCCCCCATCTTCTATCACACGGATCCCAGCATAATATACTTATCTGGCTGCCCATGGTGCCCAGGGGAAACCTCTGTAGCTCCCTGGCCTGGCATCTGAAGCTTGGCTGGTCTGGCTTGCTGATCACTGCCTGCCCCTGCGTGGGCACCACCCTCCCACCAGCTGAGCTCCAAGAGTGAGCTCTGAGCCCCGTTGCAGCAGACTCCCTGCCTCAGTTGCTCAAGCCCAGCTGTGACCACCACTGCTGGGCTCCACGGCCCCTGTTCTTTCTTTGTGCCTGGGGACCTATGCTCACACTGCCATCAGCCTTTGGGCTGCTTCTCCTCTGTTTCTTTGGTGCCTGGAAGGGGTCCTAGGAGATGCCCACTGGCCGGTGGAGGAAGGGGTTCCAGGCATGGCGTACAGGTTGGGGAGGCTTTTAGACAGGGACTCTAGACCCCTCCCAGCCTTGTGCCCTCCAGCCTGAGGGCTGCCCTAACCCCAGCCTCCTTCTCTCTGTCTTACCACAGCTGTGCCTGAGCATCTCCAACCTGGTGCAGGGCGTCAATGTCCACCTGGGCACTTTAATTGGTAAGATCTGGGAGCCAGGGGAGGGGAGTGGGGCCTCTGGGACCCCCTGGAGCCCCTAGGACCCTCCAAAGGTTCCACTGTGGATCACGATCGACCTCTAGGAGGGTCAGTTGTAGGGTGACTGAATTGTGAGCTCCCAAAACAGTATAATTATTCATGAAATCTGGGAATCTCCAAATTCTGGAACCAAAACCAAGTCTTTGATTCTAGAATCTGCATATCTTAGATCAAAAAAGCTGAAAAAAAATACAATTTTGAAATCATGAGTCTTAACATTGGAGAATCCAAGGACCATTGACACTTACAATCTAGAATCATTCTAGAATCTAGAATCCTCATTCCAAAGACCAGCTCTTGCCTCGGCCTCCCAAAGTGCTGGGATCACAGGTGTGAGCCACTGTGCCCGGCCTCGCCCTTTGAAACTTCCCTGCAAGAGTATTCTGGGGCTCAGAGGAGTTGGGCTCTGAGCTGTGCCTCCCTGAAGGCTGCTCGGAGGGTCTGTTAGGGAAGCTGGACTTCTGTGATCTTGCATAACTGGCTCCAGTGGGGTGTGCCCTTGGAGTTCCCATAGGAGACAGTGTGATGAGGTGGGGAGAGCATAGCTTTGGGGTCAGACTGACCAGGTATTACACTCCTGGGCAAGACCGAACCTCACCAGACTGTGTGTGCGTGTGTGTGTATGTGTGTGTGTGCATGTGTGCATGCGTGTGTATAAAATAACCCTACAGGATTGTAACGAGGATTGAATGAGATACTATAAGTCCAATGTCTGGACCTTGATAAGTGAGAGCTCTCTTCTTTTTCTGTGGTTGCTTCTCACCTTTGTCAGGGGATATTTGTGCCTGAACTGGGCCCTTCTCCTTCCTTCTAACTTGGAGTCACTAGTCTTCCACCGAGGGGAAAAGCAGAAACCATACCTGTTAGAATTGTGTCTAAACTAAGAGTCAGCAGGCTGTGAGTAGCTTAATCCTGGCCGTGTGCACTTTGCCACTTAGATTTGCTTATTCAGAGGCTTGCTCTGCTTCTTTTGTTTTGTGGCCTGGCTCTGGCTAATCAGGATAATCAGACAATAAATAAACTTTTCTGGATAGATGAAACGTTGGTGAGCAGTGCTAAATATGTCATCTTTTCTTCTCCACCCTGGTTTCATGAAGGCCTCAACCCTGTGGGTCCTGAGTCCCAGATCCGCTATTCCATGGTCAGTGTGCCCACTGTCACCAGTGACTACATTTCCCTGGAAGTCAATGTAAGTGCCTCCTGGCCAGCCCAGAGCTGGGGGCTTGCTGCCCCTGGAGTCCTTGGTGTTCCAGAAGATTCCTAAAGGAGCGGGGGAGTGGGAAATGAGAGGAGGAGCTGGAACAGTATCCCAGCCGGGGGCACGCCACACGGGCAAAAGTGTGAGCTAGACATATGGCATCTTGCAGGGGGTGGGGGGGGCAGGGAGTGGCATCTAGGAGCCCAGGTGCTGCCATGGTGCCACTTCCCTGCTGAGGCCCTGCTGCTTTTCTCCCATTTCCCCCTCCTACCCCCACAGGCTGTTCTCTTCCTGCTGGGCAAGCCCATCATCCTGCCCACGGATGCCACCCCTTTTGTGTTGCCAAGGCATGTGGGCACTGAGGGCTCCATGGCCACTGTGGGCCTCTCCCAGCACCTGTTTGACTCTGCGCTCCTGCTGCTGCAGAAGTCCGGCGCCCTCAATCTGGACATCACAGGGCAGCTGGTGAGGGCCCGACCTGCAGCCCAGGGCCTGTGGGGCAAGAGCTCCCTGTGGCCCAGCCTAGGGAGACCCCCCAGAGGCCATATTGTGGGTGGGTGGGACTGCTAGAGTTGGCGCCACAGGGTGGCTGCTGGAAGGATTAAACAGGGGCTATGGGGAGCGATTGCTCGGGGGGGACAGTGGTGATCTATCTTGGGAGCAGCTGCCCTAAAACCTGTTGTGGCCTGGGGGGCTGATTTCAGAGGTCGGATGACAACCTGCTGAACACCTCTGCACTGGGCTGGCTCATCCCGGAGGTCGGTGATATTTCTGATCATTCCAGGGGTTGAGACAGGGGACGGGGGTGGGGGTTCTCCGGGTCATGGGATCTCTGCTGGGTCTTATCTGTCCCAAGTGAAGTTCAGCATCTGTCCTTAAACCCACTCCTCCATCTTGGGGAGGCTCCACCTTCTGTCCAGACATCACACTCTGTCTCTCCGGGCCTTCACTTGAGCAGTGTCTGCTGTTTGGAAGGTCTTTCTCCTCCTTTTCCCTTATCCTTCTTCAAGACCAAGCTCAGGGTCACCTCCTCGGGGAGACCCAACCCCTCGTCTGGTCCAGCAGCCTGTGGGGGACCCACCTCTGTGCCCAGTCACATGCGGCACCATGGTGGCCCAATCAGCATTGGAGGAGTGACTGACCAGAGAGCCTGCCAGCCGCTGCCCCAGCAAGGCCTCCTCTGCCTCTGCCTCCCCAGGTGGCCCGCCAATTCCCCGAGCCCATGCCCGTGGTGCTCAAGGTGCGGCTGGGTACCACACCTGTGGCCGTGCTCCACACCAACAACGCCACCCTGCGGCTGCAGCCCTTCGTGGAGGTCCTGGCCGCAGCCTCCAACTCCGCTTTCCAGTCCCTCTTCTCCCTGGATGTGGTGAGTGTGGTGGGGCTGGCCGGAAGGCGGGCAACTGTCATGGAGACCTCCCTCCCTGCTGTGCTGTCCCCTCGTCTTTGCTCTACTCACACTAGTGTCTTCGCTGTTCCTTGAACATGTCAGGACACTCCTGCCCCGGGACCTTTGCATGTGCTGAGCCCTTGGCCTAGGACTCTCCCACCCTGGCTCTTGGCATGGCCAGCTCCCCCTCCTCTTCCAGGTCTCAGCTTAAATGTTGCAGCCTTGCTGGCCCACCCTGAGTAAGAAGGCCCCTTCAGCCTTCTCGGCACCTCCTCTCTGTGTTTGTGGCCCCTGCCACTCTCTGAAAGGATGGCTTCTGGTTACTGTGTTTACGGACCCCGTCTCCCACAACTGGCGGCTCGTTCCCAGGAGAGGGAGCTGGTCTGTCTTGTTCACACTGTGTTGTTCCCAGCGTTCAGCATGGGGCCTGGCGCATAGCGGGGGCTTCACAGCCACCTGCTGCCTGAATGAGTCGGGGGATGGGTGGGAGGCTGGGTAGCTGGTGCCCCCCTCGTGCCTCTGTGCCCTCTGACCCTGCTCTCCCCATATGCCCAGGTAGTGAACTTGAGCCTCCAGCTCTCTGTGTCCAAGGTGAAGCTTCAGGGGACCACGTCTGTGCTGGGGTAAGCGAGCCCACCTGGACCCAGCAGCCTCAGTGTGTTCCTGTGTGCAATGGGTCCACCACTGCCCCGGGTCACGGTGTCAGCCAGGGAGCCTGGGGGTGGGGAGGTGCCAGACCCTGTCCTGAATTCTCCTGCTTCTCTTTCAGGGATGTCCAGCTCACGGTGGCCTCCTCCAACGTGGGCTTCATTGATGTGAGTGTGGGGCTGTGGCCTCTAGAGACCCCCCTCCTGGGTGGGGCATGCCTTGAGCCTGGGGAAGCCATGTCTGTGTGTGTGTGCGGACCCGTGTGCTTGTGTCTGCCACTATAGTCAGGCTTCCCCAGGCTGCTTGGGGACAGTGGCCGGTCAGTCCGTCTGCCTGATACTCTGCCTGGCAGTCAATGATCTGTCACCCAGCCCTCAACCCAAGAGTCCATCGGTCACTTGGACAATGAATGTTAGCTGTCCTTTCAGCCAGGTGATGTGACTGGGTCATCAGCCACTATACATCCACTTGTCAGCTGGCATGCCATCAACATGCCCCCTTTCTGCCCAGCTGTCAGTCTGTCTGTCTGTCGGTCATCTGTGTCAGGCAGTCTGCTGGCCAGTCCACCTGTGGGTCACACAGTGCGTGAGTGTCCACAGTCAGTGCTGTCCCTCAGCCTCCCATCCGGTGAGCGCTGCCGCTGGGTGTGATCCTGCGGAGGCAGAGCCAGCCCCAGAAGTGTTGCTGGGCCCCACTTGAACCCAGGACATGGGTGATCTGCCCTCCTCCCTCTGCCTCAGCCTTTGCCACCCATCCGTTGTCTATCTGTCTGTCTCTGTGTGTATTTATGTATGTGCCTTACTGTCCATCTCTCCTGGCCCCTCGGCTGGGACGGGCTCATCTCCCTGGCTCCGTGGCCACAGACAGATCAGGTGCGCGCACTGATGGGCACCGTTTTTGAGAAGCCCCTGCTGGACCATCTCAATGGTAAGCCCTGCCCTCCACCCCAGCAGGGCCCCTCTGGCCCCCTCCGTACCCCACATCTGCTCAGTGCTCAATCCCAGCCCCCTTCCCACTTTCCAGGCTCAGAGGGTGAGAGGGGGCCTCTGGAGTCTAGCAGCCCATGTGTGCATGCCCCTTGGCACACATCTGTGTAGCAGCTGTGTGATCTTCACCAAGTTCCTTTTTCTCTCTGAGCCCCAGCTTCCCCTTCTGTAAAATGGGTGTAATAATAATGGCATCCATCTCCCAGGTGCCTGTGAGGACTCAGTGCCGTGGTGCATATGAGGGCTTCAGCACAGGCTGGCTCCTTTCTTCTTTCTCGCCTGCAGCTCTCTTGGCCATGGGAATTGCCCTCCCCGGCGTGGTCAACCTCCAATATGTAGCCCCTGAGATCTTTGTCTATGAGGTGAGAGCCTTTGGGTGTGACCAGAGGGGCCTTCTTCACTCAGAGGGACTGAGTGAGGTGGGGGTCACCTCTCTCCCTCCCTACCTGCTGCCTCAAAGACTGTGCCATGAATCCTTAACTGCAATGAAATGAAAAGTCCAGGATGCCAAGAGACCCTGGGTCGAAGGTTTCATTCTTCCTTTAGTCCTCATAAAATATCATACCAGGCCACACTCGGGGAACTGGGGCTTTCACTTATCCCATGATCCTGTGCCCTGGGATGGGCACGACCCCTTTGGTATCTGGGGCAGATGACAGTGAGACCCCATCTGCTTTGTAGACAAACTGTGCAGGCTGGGTGGGAGTAGGGAACTTCCTGAATTTTCTAAAATTGCTTTCCCTGGATCTGAAATCATGGGCCCAGGGTGAGATTCAGTCATAACACTGCCCAGGGTGAGATCTTACCTGGGATATAAAAGGAAATTCACTCAACAAGACATGCGTAAGACAGAAAGCTGAACCCAGGTCTCTCAAGCCCAGTGTCTCAGGTGCTGTTCATACCCCATGAGTGTGACCTGCTGATGTAGTTCCAGGGAGGATGCCCTTGTTCCTTAAGAACTACTGTCTCAAGGCACTTGGGTGATCCGCCCCCAGGAGAAGGAACAATTGACACACAGAGGAGCAGGGCTATGTGGGAATTTCCCTAGGACTTCCCAGAACAGGCACGGTTAGTGGCTGACCCACCTTGGCCCTTGACCCAGCCACTGGGTCAGAGGTGACAAGTCCCTAGTCCAGTACTGTCCGATGAAACTTTCTGCAAGGATGGAAGTTTGTACTGTCCAAAGCAGCAGCCATGATCAGTCACAGGTGCATGTGGCTACTGAACACAGAAGTGTGGCTAGTGCAACTGTGGACCTGAATTTTTTATTTTATTTCATTTTAATGAATTTCAGTTTAATTAGCCATAGGACTAATTAGCCATAGCCGCCAATTGTGGTTGCCTTATTGGACCACATAGCCCTACACTATGACATTGTACATCCTACATTGTGGGAGGAACTGGGTCTGGCTTTTTCTCTGCTGGTTCCCAGCACCTGCCACAGAACTTGGCTTGTAGTAGAGGCTTGATAAAGATTTACTGAATGAATGAATGAATGAATGAATGATTGGCAGCCCTCCAGAATGCTCCTGCAGTGGAGTGTAGCATAGGGGAGCTATGGGGGGGGGGGCGTGCCTGACTCTGCTGGAGAGATTTGGACTTGGAGAAGATGCTCCACGGTTCTGCGCTCCCATTCATAAAGCATCAATGATATCCACCATTGGAGCAGCAACCAGTGCCTTCCTGGGGGGGTCTCACTGCCTCCTCACAGTGCCCTTGTGAGGTGGAGCCTGCTACTACCCCCAAAGTGACAGACTGGGAAACTGAAGCCCAGAGAGGCAAAGGACTCTCCTCACAAACCAAAACAAGAATGGCAGAGCAGAACTCAGAGCCAGGCTACGGGGGCGGCTGGGGTCCTGCCTGTGCCTGTGTCTCCTCTGACCCTCTGACCTGGTCCATCGTTTCCTTTGCCCTTCAGGGCTACGTGGTGATATCCAGTGAACTCTTCTACCAGAACTGAGGCAGGACCACTGGGAGGCCTGAAAGTGGGCCAGCTCACTGCTCAGGCGAACTTCTTATCTCAAGTCACTGGGGAAACTGAGGCAAAACCATACTTAGTTATCACCAACAAGCTGGACTGCCCAGCTGGGCTGTTTTATCTTCCCTGAGTGCCTGGGTCTCCCTCCCTCACTTCTGCCCTATCCCTTCCTCCTCCTTTCCTCTACCCTCTTCCCTCACCTCCCCACTCCTTCCTCTGTCCAACCCCCAGGGGGAGCAGACTGCTCCTACAGGCTGTATAGACCTGCCCTCTTGCATTAAACAACTTCTCTTGAGCTGCAACTTTCAGCCAAACACAGCAAACTCTTTGTGTACCTAAGGCCAGTTCCCTACATGCAGTCTCCAGGTTCTGTCTGTCCCTGGAGCCACCAACGCTGCCTGGGAGAAGAAGAAGACATAACATCTCTGTCGATTACATCTCTGTTGATGACATCTCTGTTGACTGTATCACCTCTTTGCCTGGGGGAGCTCCTATTTTGAAAAAGGACCCTGGAGAGCCACACGGATGAGTCTGAAGTTAGAGCACCATGGTGGCACTTTGGGCACAGTGCCCCTTGCCTGGCGGCTTGCCCCATCTTGTAACTAGAACCTCATAGGAGCCCCATGAATCAGGCAGGCAGAGACTGGAGTTCCATTTTATGGATGTGGGGACTAAGGTCCACTGAGGAGGGGAATGCATGGTGTCTGAGAGCTGGATGGTGACACAACCTTCCTTCAATCCAGACATGAGCTGTCTGTGTCCCTCTCCCATTCTCCGGCTCCCAGAGCTGCACCTTGTCCCTGAGCACAAACTTCAGGTGATGGGGAGTTCATTGCTCTTCTAGGCAGCTTCCCCGTCTTTGGTTTACTCCAGTTACGAGCAAGATTTTTGTCCTAAGGAGGCAACATCTGCTTCCCAGGCCTCTGCCCTTCTGGTCACACTGAACATGTCTAACCCCTTTTCCCTCTGAATGCCCTTCACACCCAGTGAATCACACAGGACAAGATGACCTAAGAAACGCCAAGGGATGTAAATGCCAGCAAGTCAAAGTCATGTGATTTTCTAACCCTGATAAGTTAATCTCTTAGCCAGAGATAGGATTCCTTCCTGCCTAGATATATGGGATTTATGTTCTGTTTATGTTTCCTTTGGGGAGTAAAAGGTGCCTCAATTTTTACCACCAGTAGGCAAAGCCTTTGGTACAGTGTGACCCTAGCCACTCTTCCTGTGAGGGTTCAGGTTTCAGGTTCATTCCTAAAGTTTCCAGTGTGAGAGATTGAAGGGACTGGACCAAGCCAGGAGGCTTGGTGGTGGAGAACAGGTTGGGGGTGGTACTGAGAGAGTGGCAAGGGGCAGGTTGGAAAATCCACCCCCATGAGTTTGCTCAGGACAATGTGACTTGTATTTCACTTGGTTATTTGGTTAATTAAGTCATTCATCCTACTTTTATTGAGGGTTAAAATAGGCTCAGTTCTAGAAGTGAGGAAGGGAGATCCAGGCACTCAGAGTGCTCTGGAGTATGAAAGAGACAAAAATCTTAAGATAGAGCCATAGTCTATAAAGTTAATAACCTAGGGAAAGATTAGAAGCTCAATATGTCAGTCCAGTGATCGATCTATCTATCTATCTATCTATCTATCTATCTATCTATCTATCTATCCTTCCACCCACCCACTCATCAATCCATATAACCATCCATCCATTTGTTCATCCATCCACTCATCCATCCATCCACCCATCAATCTATATAACCATCCCTCCATTTGTCTATCATCAATCCATCCATCTATGCATCCACCTACTCACTATCCATCAATCCATATAACCATCCATACATTTGTTCATCCATCCACCCACCCATCAATCTATATAACCATCCATCCATTTGTCCATCATCCAACCATCCATCCATCCACTCACTACCCATCAGACCATATAACCATTCATCCATTTGTTCATCACCCATCTATCTGTCCATCCATCCATCTATCCACCCATCCATCCATCCATCCATCCATCCATCCATCCATCCACCCTTTTATTCAGTCATTTTTTCCAACCAGCCAGGCTTTGTTTGTACTCATGATATACCTATTTCAATAATACATATTCTTTTAGGAGAAGGGGGGATGAAAATGCCTGAGTCAAGCTCCCTGCCCTGAAGGAAGCTGGTGGTCTGTCCAAAGAGAGTTGCCCTAATCCTAAGGGACACCCTTTGGTCATTCAGTTAGGTGCCTGATGGGCTCTGGCTGCTGAGAGGGACAAATGGGTGTAGCAGTCTGAGTCCAGTTAGAGGACAGAAATCACACAGGAGCTCAAACGGGGGAAGTTTAACATGTAGAGTTATTACCTATGATAAAAGAGTCACTGCAAGACATAAGGAAACTCTATATGGTCCTCTAGGGCTAAGGGAGAGTACCCAAGGAAAGACAAACTCGGAAGGGCTTCAGGCCTCATTGGAGAAGACATTGCTCAGCCTGCTGGATAGCACAGATGTTGGCTGGTGTGGCCAGGCTGGAGATGACCTGAGCTGGCCTAGAGTTTCTGGGCAAACAACAGGCAACTAAGACCTTGGGAACCAGTGTGCAAGCAGCATGGGGGGACGAAAGAGGGGAGCACTGGGGTGTGACTTGCACATGGAACAGCTCAGGGTGTGGCTCTCTGGGCTACAGGTGACTGGATAGAGGTAACATGGGGCTACTTACAGAGGAGTCTGGGCACTGGCATGGGCAGGAGGCCTTCAGAGGGGCTGGGCCAGATGGGTGGGGGTATGGGGAGTAGCTCTGATTTCCGTTTGGAAGGGCTGGCCCCAGGCTGAAGCTGCAAGTTTGCAGAGGGATTGAGTTCTGGACCCATGGCTGGGACAGGCTTCACCTGCACACACTCACATAGCCAACCACAACCCACACTGGAAATTGCAGGAAGCCTCTTCCTCGTGCACTGCCCTCTCCTAAGAAAGGTTGACATCATGCTCACTGTAAAGGAGAAATGCTTAAATGAGTCCCATTGCTTATCATGGAACATACACTGAAAGGTGCTTTCGGAGCTGAGGGGCGGTAATAAATTGCTAACTGACACAATGGGGCAGAGGAGAAAAGGTCTGTGTTTTCCCAGCTCAGGTTCCTTTGCAAATCTCTCACTTGTCCACTTGCATGGCCCACTCTTCGCCCTGAATGTCTACCCTGCATATTTCCTTGCTAGGCTCTTTGCCCAACATGGGATGTCTTTACTGGAGCCTGCTACCCCCACGCAGCAGCTCAGATGCAGTCTCCCCTGGCCACAGTGTGGGGTGACCTGCCTGCCTTGTTTCAGTCTCCAAACCCCTCCTCCCCAATTACTCTGATGCCCTTTGATTGCACACCATGGTTATTGGTGTCCATGGCTTCCTTCTCCACCACACCTCCCTGACCCCTCCCAGAGCCCAGCACACAAGTGCGTAATAAATGTGTGGCGAGTGAGTTGTTTGCACACATAGACGGTGGAGCTCTGGCCCAGGCTTGCCTCAACCCTAAGCCCTGGGCAGGCCATGTGGACAGCCCTATCCTCATAGGCAGGTGAGGGCTGCTAGACTTGGAGTCAGTCCCCTGTGTTGGGTCCCCAGAGAGGGTCAGTGGGGAAGGGAAAAGATGACACTGAGCTTCAGGACCGGCCCGGTCTCCAATGTCTGAGAGTTAGAGGGAGGAAAGGAGGCTAGGGAAGGCTCCCTGGAGGAAGGATTCTCAGCTGCTCCTGGAAGCATGACTGAATTTAGAGCTGGAGGCAGGGAGGGTGTTATAAGGAACCAGGCAGGGCGATTCTGGGGCCCGGGAGAAGAGAGGAGCCCTGCTGGGTATGCCTTGGAAGGTGTTGGCCTGGGCTCTGGAGCCTTTGGATCCACGTTCAACCCCCAGCTGTGCCATTCACTCGCTGTATGACCTTGAGCAAATGACTTGACCTCTCTGAGCCTTAGTTTCTCTAACTATAAAATGGAGAAAATTGCTGAAGCGCCCGCCTCATAGGGTAGTTCTGAGGATTAAGTAGGTGAGTGTAAATAAACACTTAGCATGATGCCTGATACAGGGGGGATGCACAGTACATGGGTCCTACTGTTATTGGCAGCAGCATAGAGTTCTACTCCCTCATCCATCATAAAGAGGATTAAATAAAAGTGGCCCAGAGAGGTTGAGGGAGCTGCCCAAGGCCACACAGCTTGCAAGGGCAGTGGCTGGCACTGGGTCAGGTCCCTGAACCCATTCAAGGGGTTTCTCCTGTTTCTCCCGCCCCATGTCCTTTCTGCTCTCCACCCCAAATACACTCCTTAATACCCAGATGGCCCTGGTGGGAGGCAGGGAGAGCCAGGAAACTGCAGTCAAGACACACCGGGGTGGATTTGTGGGCAGTAAGAGGATGTAAGTCCTGTCTGTCTGTCTGTCGGGGGCGGGTCAGCAGGGATAAGACGATGCTATCTGTGGACCTGGCTCCTGCAGCTCAGGGCTTGGATCAGGGTAGAGACCGTCTGGCCACCCTGGGTCCTGCTCTCACCCTTCCCGGCCTGGCTTCAGCTGCGGCTTGTGACCTTAGGCAGGCCCTCACTCCCCTCGCCTCAGTGGCCCCACGTGCACACGAGCACAGTGGCTTCCTCCATCTTCCTGGACCTGTGGAGTCCGTGTGGGGTGGGAAAGGAAAACCCCAGGCCCCCAGCAGCCTCCTGGGGACTGTTCCTCAAGCACAAAAGCCCTCAAGGGGCCTCCGAGCCAAGCCTCCCCAAGAAGCTCATGATGGGCAGAACAGAGGCTGAAAACCCCAGGCCGCCTGGTCCCAGCTCTGTGGCTGGCTCCCCTGTGCCTCTGAAGTCACCCCCGCATTCATTTCTCCCAGGTTTGGACCTTGAGAGAAAGCACCCCCCGACCTGGTACCGCATGATAGCATCTTCAGGGGGTCCCTTTGAAGACACCTCACTTGGCCATTAGCACCTTGTGCCCGCTGTGAATGAACCTTGGGGGACACAAACCCCAGTGGGCTCAGCCAGCATCTCCTAAGCCTTGTGCACTTGCTGGCCCCTGTCTGAAACACCTTTGCTCCCGTCTTGCAGAGCTGTCTTTGCTCACCCCCCGGCATCAGCTCCAACAACCCTTGCTCACGGGTCTCCGGGTTCTGATGATCACTTTGTTCTTCCATCTCTGTCCTATCTCTCTGGTTTAGTGGCTTTCATCACCCTTGCCTCCCTTGGGAACAATAGGCTTTGCGGTTGTTGACTTGCACAGTGCCTGTCTCCCCCTTTGGCCACCAGAAACTCTCTCAGGGCAGGAAGCCCAATTGCCTGCTCACTGAGATAAACCCAGTGCCCTGCACAGGCGTGGCACGCAGTAGGTGCTCAATAAATGTTTCTTGAAGAAACAAATGCATGCCCTCTGTGTGCCCAGACTTGTAGGGGGTGCTGGGTCTAGGAGAGGGAACAGTGTGAGCACTGATGGCCATTTGCGCAGCCACATCCTGCCCCTGGTACCCGCTCTCATGCGGCCACCGGGATTCCCAGCCACTCTTGTCTTCCATGCTATTTACATTGGAACAGACTGAAACGTCACGTGAGCAATGGGGCTCCTGTTCTTCAAGCCTCTAGATAATTATCTGGGCCTTATTAAGCCCTTAATTATTCCAAGCCACCAATCAGGCTCCCGAATATAAGGGCTTCCTCAGCTCAGGGTCAGGAGGAAGGGGTCAGTCATCTGCAGAACTTCCCTGAGCTCAGCAAGGTAAGGACAGTCCCCTACCTGTGGAACTCTCCCCAGAGAGTGTCTTATCCAGCTTTGTCATTTTACAGATGAGAAAACTGAGGCCCAGAGAGGGGAAGAGACTTGCCTGAGGTCACACAGCAAATGGATGGCAGGGTCAGGGCTTGGATCTATGTCCTCACCTCCAGCCAGTGCTCCCCACCTTACAGGTGACCACTGGGCATTGCAATTTTCTGATGCTGTAGGAGTTCGGAAAGATCAAGGAGACAGCAGATCAAATGGGTCTCCCTTGGGCTCCATCTGAGGCTGAAGGGAGACTAGGGAGGGGAACCCCAGGCTCTGCTTTGTAGGAGCTCAGAGCCGAGGTGGGCACCCAGGAGTGGGAGGGCATCTAGGAGTATGTGCCAGGCAGAGAAAGGGAGGAAGGGTCTTCTGGTGGGAGAAACCATGAGCAAAGGATGAGGGTGGTTGGGGGTAGCAGGAAACACTCATCACAGGTAGGGTGGATTATTTGCACGGTCAGGTTTAATTTGTGATTTTTGAGGACAGGGGCAGTAAGGGGTTGAGGGAGGCTTTGTGGTAGATAAGGCAAGGGCTGAAATTAGGACTTGAGGGTTGAGCTGGTGATAGATGGATGGAGGGAAGGCATTCTAAAAGGGAGGGACAGCTTAGGACATGCACATTCAGAAACAAAACCCTAGCATTAGCCATTTGTCCCAGAGACACCTGCATGACCACGTTACCTGAAGCCACTTATTATTCTGAGAGGGCAAAAAAAACAAAAAACAAAAAAAAAACCTGCGCCGAGTGACCATAATGCCTGGCATCAGTTCTGGCCTGGGGATGGGAGACTGGTGAGGGTCAGTCACCCCATCTGTGAGATGGGACTGGGGCTGGAGGAGACCTTCACCAAGCCCCTCCCAGCTCTGTTGCCTGGCTCAGAATTTCACAGCTCCTTTGGGGATGATTTTCAAAAAGATTTGACATGGGGTGTGCAGGGACATCAGCATATGTCATGGCACACACCTGTGCATTCACGGGGGTCGAGAAGCGCTACTGTGGATCATTTTAAACCCAGATATATCTTCCATGTAGTGAATATTGACTATTGACTTGAACGCTTCTTGATACTTAAGTTCCTTTTCTCCCTCAGGTCTCAGCCTAAATGTCTCCTCCGTAGAGAGTCTGTTCCTGACCCCTTTATCCCACATCCCACGCTATTGCTTCTCATTCCCCGCCAGACTTTAGGATTTAGGAGGAGCAGGGCTGTCTCTGCCACAGAGACAAAAAAGATAAGCCCAGTCTGCTTGGTACATAGAAGACACTCAATAGATGTGAGCCGAATGAATGAATGAGTGAATGAGTGAATGAGTGAATGAATGAATGAGTGAATGAATGAATGAGTGAATGAGTGAATGAATGAATGAGTGAATGAGTGAGTGAATGAATGAATGAGTGAATGAGTGAATGAATGCAGGCATCGGCTCAGACTGGGAAGGCAGGCCCATGGTAAGGGCCCATCTTAGTTTGTGCATTAGGGGAGCCCTCAGTGACTTAGCCCGCTGAGAGCACGAGAGTCTGGCCGGAACCTCCCCTCTCTGGGTGGAAACAGGCCCTGCTCCCAGGGGCCCTGCCTTCATTCTTTTCAGCCAAAGCTCAAAACTGAAATATACGCTTGGTCCCTGGTTGGGAGAGTTTCAGGTCTTGATAAGTAAGAGGGAGAGATTTCTATGGGCCCAGGGTTGAGATAGGACTTTCCTGGGAACCTGAAAAGGTCTGGGGTGGGAGGTCCTTACTCAGTTCACTGGCCATGATGCCTAATGTCTGTGCCTTGGTTTCTCTATCGGGGAGGCGATGTCTCAAGGGGCCTTTCAGAGCTCACAGTTGAGCTTTCTGAATTCCACATGGAAGTGAGCTGAGCTGGAAGAGGTCGGGGTGGGGCACTGGCTGTAGGATCAAGGTGGGAACACAGGACTCCCCACTCCCACAACATAGTGTGGGGCTCAGGGAAGGTCTGGAATTCTCTCTGTGGCTCCAGCATTGAGCTGCCCTTGAACCCGTGAAAAACTGCAGTTGAACCTTCCTCTAACCCCATCTTGCAGGCTGGTCAGAACACATCATGCCCATGGGGAAACTGAGGCTTACAGAGGGAAATGAGCTACCTGGGCGTGGCTCCAGAGGCCCTGTGTTTAATCTGGGGGTTCCTCAATCCCTTGGGAGAGGGCAGTGCTTATGTTTGCTGAACTGGCTGGAGTCCAAAGCCTCTTGGACCCCAGAAACATCCAGGGGGCTCAATCTGCTCAGAGACAGGAGATCCCCTAGGGAGCCAGGGTCTGGTCTGGTGGGCTGCACCCAATTCAGGCCCCTCGGCACAGGTGGCGCCATGCTGCGGATCCTGTGCCTGGCACTCTGCAGCCTGCTGACCCACGCGCGAGCTGACCCTGGGGCACTGCTGCGGTTGGGCATGGACATCATGAACAGCGGTGAGATTGTGGGCCCGGGCGTGCGGCTGGGAGGCAGTGCTTGGGGTAGATGGTAGGTAGTCGCTGCTCATGGTTGCACATCCTGGGGCATCCTGTGAGCTCAGAGTAAACTTATAAGCAAGAGTTATTATTATTCTCCCACTTTACAGAGGGGAGAAACCAAGGACCAGAGAAAATGGGATGATTTTCCCATGCTCCCTCTGTAAGTTAGAGGCAGAGCTGGAAATTCTGCTCCCTTGGAGTCTCTCCTTGGCCCTGATGGCAGGGGTGTTTAGCCACAAGTGGGCTGTGGGAGTGACAGACAAGGGTCAAATCCCAGCAACAACTTGCTGTGTGACCTCAGGCAAGTTGCTTGGCCTCTCTGTGTTGCTGTTTGTTCACCTGTAAAGGTGAAATGTAAAGAAATGTAAAATAGGGTGACCAGTCTGTCCCTAGCAGGACAGAATAAAATGTGAGATTAAAATCTCTTGGAGGAGACTTTAGTAAAATGTATTTTCCACCTCCACCTGCCACTCCACTAGCACAAGGGAAGGGGAGTCCCATCCAGGTACAAAAGGCTAATGACTGTTCTACCGACGCAGTGTTTGCCCCCTCTCTGGAATTAGCTTGTGGCCATAATGGAGGGATTTCTGGTGGGGTGTTACTTGGGGTTGGGGCCTCTAGGTTTGGGGAATCAGAATTTCTCTGCTTCAGGCCCAAAATCTAAATTCAAGTCCCTGGAGGAGTGCCCTAATCACCTTGGCCTGGGAGTGGCTGGTCCACAGGACAAAATCAATACCCTAGGGTTCAAGAGCTTCACTTCATGCCCCCTGCAAACTGCTCCAGTTTCTCTGCCATGTCTGTCCTCACCCTCCAGCCATGCTGAATCTGTCCTCTTCCTCCCACTGTGCCATCTTCTTTCCCAACCACCTTTGCACTTTGCTGTGCCCTCTGCCCAGACTGATACCTTTTATCCCTTTGCTTCCTGCAGAAGATTACTATTCCCCCTTCAAGGACCAACTGATCTGTCGCTTCCTCCTGGAAGCCTTCCCCAGCTCTTCTCTTCCTGCCTAAATGCTCGTGTGGCTCCTACAGCTTGTCACTGTCATTGCTGGTGACTCCATCTTCCCCCATGAGGCTGGGGCGCGTTGGGACTCATCTCTGGGTCTCTGCCATCGTCCAGCCCAGGGTGGGGCACAATGACTGTGAGTGGCCTGGGATGCCTGAGAGACTGGCTCAGGGATAATCTTTCCAACTAAGTGTCTCCACTCCAGAGGTCCAGAGCGCCATGGATGAGAGTCATATCCTGGAGAAGATGGCAGCTGAGGCAGGCAAGAAACAGCCAGGGATGAAGCCTATCAAGGGCATCACCAAGTAAGTTGGGGGTGAGGGGAGCTGGAGGGTGGTGGTTAGGGCAGAAGGTGGTGGGGAATGCTGTGCCCAAGATCTCAGGAGGCCAGGTGATGGAGCTGGTGAGGGATGTGGGGTCTCTTCCCTGCCTTGTGTTGTCTTGCTGTGTGGCCTTGGGTAGGTCGCTGCTCCTGCCTGTGCCTGGACCTCCTCAGCCATTCACTGGGGAAAATTTCTGCCCTGTAGTGAGCAGGGTAATTTTGAGGAGGAAATGAGGTTGGAAAGTCAAATTTCAACTCTGCATGCAACATGAGCTCACTGAATGTACATGAAATTAAATGAAAACGTCCTCAAATGGTAGAGCTGGAAAGGTGTCAACAATCATCTAATGACAAGAGGAAATTGGTTCCTCTGCCAGTGCCATGAGGGATTAATCAGTAGGGGCTGCCTGAAACGATGCACTTGGGAGGGCTCTGAGGCACTATCTGCACTCAGCAGGAACTAGGACTGTGATCAACCAGCAATGTCTGCCAAGAGCTCAGAATGGGCAAGTTGGGGTATGTGTGCTACATATTTTGTTACCCTGGATCTCAACTGGTGGTTCTCAACCAGGGGTGATTTTGCCTCCAATAGGACATTTGACAATGTCCAGAGACATTTTTGGTTGTCACAAGTTGTGGGGACTGGGGGAATGCTACTGGCATTTAGTGTGCTGAGGTCAGAGATGCTATTAGACATCCAATAATGAACAAATCAGCCTCATGACAAAGAATTATCCTGCCCAAAATGTGGATAGTGCCACTTTTGAGAAACCCTGATCTAAGCAAACCTCCCATTTTGTTGATGGGGAAATTGAGGCCCACATAAGGAAATGACACAGCCCAAGGTCACACAGAGTCAGCCATGTGTCCCACCTCCCATATAATAGAGTGCTTTCTATATACAAATTGACTCATGTCCAGCCTTTTGTTTGCATTTCATAATGGCCCCATGAGGCAGGCTTACCCCCGTGACATGGGATGGGGGGCTGGGGTTATGGAAAGACCTCCCAGTAAAGTGGTGGAGAAGTGGGTGGAGGTCCTGGGTCTTGCCTGCTCAGATCTTACTGGTGTGGCTGCCCGTCCCTCCCAGTTTGAAGGTGAAGGATGTCCAGCTGCCCATCATCACACTGAACTTTGTACCTGGAGTGGGCATCTTCCAATGTGTGTCCACAGGCATGACCATCACTGGCAAGAGGTGAGTGTGGCAGGGGAGGGGCAGCGGGGAGGAGAACAGCCTTCCTGTCTCATCCTTACATGCACATTTATTGAGTGCCTACTGCGTACCATCTGAGTGTTGTAATCTGGGATGATGTAGACTTGGTCCCTACCTTTGTCAGGAACCAAACCTAAGCACAATCACAGACTGAGTGACTGGTCTAGGGCAGAAGAAGCATTGAGCAGTGTGGGG